TGCTTGCTTGCTTGCTTGCTTGCTTGCTTGCTTGCTTGCTTGATTGCTTGCTTGCTTGCTTGCTTGCTTGCTTGCTTGCTTGCTTGCTTGCTTGATTGCTTGCTTGCTTGCTTGCTTGCTTGCTTGCTTGCTTGCTTGCTTGCTTGCTTGCTTGCTTGCTTGATTGCTTGCTTGCTTGCTTGCTTGCTTGATTGCTTGCTTGCTTGCTTGCTTGCTTGCTTGCTTGCTTGCTTGCTTGCTTGCTTGCTTGCTTGCTTGATTGCTTGCTTGCTTGCTTGCTTGCTTGCTTGCTTGCTTGCTTGCTTGCTTGCTTGCTTGCTTGCTTGCTTGCTTGATTGCTTGCTTGCTTGATTGCTTGCTTGCTTGCTTGATTGCTTGCTTGCTTGATTGCTTGCTTGCTTGCTTGATTGCTTGCTTGCTTGATTGCTTGCTTGCTTGCTTGCTTGCTTGCTTGCTTGCTTGCTTGCTTGCTTGCTTGATTGCTTGCTTGCTTGCTTGATTGCTTGCTTGCTTGCTTGCTTGCTTGCTTGCTTGCTTGCTTGCTTGCTTGCTTGCTTGCTTGCTTGCTTGCTTGCTTGCTTGCTTGCTTGCTTGCTTGCTTGCTTGCTTGCTTGCTTGCTTGCTTGCTTGCTTGCTTGCTTGCTTGATTGCTTGCTTGCTTGCTTGCTTGCTTGCTTGCTTGCTTGCTTGCTTGCTTGCTTGCTTGCTTGCTTGCTTGCTTGCTTGCTTGCTTGCTTGCTTGCTTGATTGCTTGCTTGCTTGCTTGCTTGCTTGATTGCTTGCTTGCTTGCTTGCTTGCTTGCTTGCTTGCTTGCTTGCTTGCTTGCTTGCTTGCTTGCTTGCTTGCTTGCTTGCTTGCTTGCTTGCTTGATTGCTTGCTTGCTTGATTGCTTGCTTGCTTGCTTGATTGCTTGCTTGCTTGATTGCTTGCTTGCTTGCTTGATTGCTTGCTTGCTTGCTTGATTGCTTGCTTGCTTGCTTGCTTGCTTGCTTGCTTGCTTGCTTGCTTGCTTGCTTGATTGCTTGCTTGCTTGCTTGATTGCTTGCTTGCTTGCTTGCTTGCTTGCTTGCTTGCTTGCTTGCTTGCTTGCTTGCTTGCTTGCTTGCTTGATTGCTTGCTTGCTTGCTTGCTTGCTTGCTTGCTTGCTTGCTTGCTTGCTTGCTTGCTTGCTTGCTTGCTTGATTGCTTGCTTGCTTGCTTGCTTGATTGCTTGCTTGCTTGCTTGCTTGCTTGCTTGCTTGATTGCTTGCTTGCTTGCTTGCTTGCTTGCTTGCTTGATTGCTTGCTTGCTTGCTTGATTGCTTGCTTGCTTGCTTGCTTGCTTGATTGCTTGCTTGCTTGATTGCTTGCTTGATTGCTTGCTTGCTTGCTTGCTTGATTGCTTGCTTGCTTGCTTGATTGCTTGCTTGCTTGATTGCTTGCTTGATTGCTTGCTTGCTTGATTGCTTGCTTGCTTGCTTGCTTGCTTGCTTGCTTGCTTGCTTGCTTGCTTGCTTGATTGCTTGCTTGCTTGCTTGCTTGCTTGCTTGCTTGCTTGCTTGCTTGCTTGCTTGCTTGATTGCTTGCTTGCTTGCTTGCTTGCTTGCTTGCTTGCTTGATTGCTTGCTTGCTTGCTTGCTTGCTTGATTGCTTGCTTGCTTGCTTGCTTGCTTGCTTGCTTGCTTGCTTGATTGCTTGCTTGCTTGCTTGCTTGCTTGATTGCTTGCTTGCTTGCTTGCTTGCTTGCTTGCTTGCTTGCTTGCTTGCTTGCTTGATTGCTTGCTTGCTTGATTGCTTGCTTGCTTGCTTGATTGCTTGCTTGCTTGCTTGATTGCTTGCTTGCTTGCTTGATTGCTTGCTTGCTTGATTGCTTGCTTGCTTGCTTGATTGCTTGCTTGCTTGCTTGATTGCTTGCTTGCTTGCTTGCTTGCTTGCTTGCTTGCTTGCTTGCTTGCTTGCTTGATTGCTTGCTTGCTTGCTTGCTTGCTTGCTTGCTTGCTTGCTTGCTTGATTGCTTGCTTGCTTGCTTGCTTGCTTGATTGCTTGCTTGCTTGCTTGATTGCTTGCTTGCTTGCTTGCTTGCTTGCTTGCTTGCTTGATTGCTTGCTTGCTTGCTTGCTTGCTTGCTTGCTTGCTTGCTTGCTTGCTTGCTTGCTTGCTTGCTTGCTTGCTTGCTTGATTGCTTGCTTGCTTGCTTGCTTGCTTGATTGCTTGCTTGCTTGCTTGCTTGCTTGATTGCATGCTTTCTTGCTTGCTTGTTCTGCTACTGGCGTTCTGCTACAACCTTCTCAAAGGGTCCATGCAGGGATGGCAGTGAGTGTGAATGAGGCATGCTGCTTGCTTGCTGGTTCGCTGGCTGGCGTTCTGCTACTACCTGCTCAACGGATTCGTGCAGGCTGGCTGTCAGTGAGGGCTGGTTGAGGGATCGTGCTGCTGGTGCACTGTAACGGAGCGACCAGTAGAAAGCAATAACGAGCCTGCTACAAACGCGCCCAAGGAATCTGTGTAGAGATCACACCAATGAGGGTACTGGATGGACCTGGAGTAAGCATCACTGCAAGTTGCAACAGCAAGTAGATCTGATGGCTGTGTTCGAGACAGCCTAGCATGATAACCTCCTGATTTTCGTTTCACCATTGCAATCGTTCTATCACACACCGCGTCTTTTGTGCAGGGTGGGAGGCGCTGGGAAGTATCCCCTTTCATGGCTCTCTTCAATGCAGTTTCGCCTTGGCTCCTCTCTGTTCCTCCTTGGTTTTGTCACCAACATTGCGGCCGACTCTGCTCTTCTTGCCCTAAGGAAAAGCCCTCAAGATAAAGGATACAATATTCCTAGAGGGCCCCTTTTCCACCTGGTTTCCTGCCCAAATTACTCTGGAGAGCTGGCTGAGTGGTTGGGCTGGGCCATATTAACGTGGTCTTGGGCAGGACTGGCTTTCTTTGTGTTTGCGTGTGCCAATCTCGTGCCTCGTGCAGTGTCCCACCACAGGTGGTACTTGCAAAAGTTTGAGGACTATCCCAAACAACGAAAGGCAGTTGTGCCATTCTTGTTATGATTTATGAGGACGTTCTCAAGTGATAGCTTGCTTCCTAAGGTATTCAGTTTCTATACCTAGAGTAAGAGCCGTACAGTCTCTTGCAACCCATTGTAAGAAACCTTTTTCGCGTACCACGCAGTGCACTTCGCTATCTTGTCGCGCACGCAGAAGAATCGAGGTTCTGACAGCCCAGTGCCTGGCTGTGGAACTGTGCGGCTCCGTTCTTCTCTGACAGGGGGAAGAGATGATGCAAGTCATTCATGGGACATGCAGCTCGGTTTGTCAGATTTCTCTCGAGGTTTTGTTGGGTTTCTGAAAGCTTACAATGCGGTATTAGGGCTTATTGGAATTGAAAGGCGTTGAAAGCGACGGGGAGGAGCTTCCAGGTGCTTCCATCCATCCCACATGCTGAAAGAAGCAGCCACTGCCCCCATATCCCCCATGTCCCGTATCCCAAGGCGGCTGAGTGTGACGTTTGTATTTTGTAACCACTAGCTTCGCCATGCATCACCGTTGCTGCTGGCCTGAGATGCCGCAGAGGAAACTGATGTGACCACGTGGCGTCAGGTGATAGAAGCATCTTAGTGCGAAGCGCGGAGAGCGTGTCTCAGGCTTCTCATCCGTATAGTCACACCCTCACTCAAGTCACATCACACTTTCCTGTTGCTGTTTGAAATGTTCACTCAGCTCTAGACGGCTACCCGTCAACCTACCTTGCTTTCGCGTGACGTCATCGTCTTTATAGGTTCCAAAGCTAATTCAGTTTAGCTTAGAATTGGTGTAGTAGCAGCATTGTTATCTATATGCTTAGTCCGTCGCTATCGCAGCAGCAGGCTCGCGGCGATTAAGATTCGCTGGTCTAGTTTAAGACTGGTAGCAGTTGGAAGCGAAGCCGTTTGGTAGCGAGGCCTGAAATATTTTTGTGAAAAGCGGAAAGAGAGGACAAGCCGAGGGGGTAGCGACCACGAGTTGTCGAAGGAGAAGGTTCACAGAAGCTTCGCGTCTCCTGGTGGTTGTGGTTGTTTTCCCTCCAAAAAGGCGCGCCAATGCCGCCGAAGACCGCGCAGGAGCTTCAGGCGGAGAGGCTGAAGCAGAAGGGCAACGAGTACTTCAACAAAGGGTTTCTCGGAGCAGCTATAGACGCGTACACGGAGGTGCGTGTTTCTTCTGTATTTTGAGTGGGACTCAATAATCGGAGCAGCTATAGACGCGTACACGGAGTTGCGTGCCTCCTCTAGCTCAGCTTGCAGAACAGCACAAACAAGGTGGCCCTACGTTTGAAGAAAATTATTAGAATAGGTAGCTGGTGGGTCGACTGAGAAGCCATTCCAGTGCGGGAAAAGGGCATCGGGCTCGCGAATAAGATTGGCAGTTGATGATAGCACGCCGGGTCGGATGGCGGAGATGGGGGAGAGGGACAGGAAGGGTGAGAGAGTGGGTAGAGGGGCTTTCAGGGATGGTGGTGTTACTTATTGTTCCCTGTTTTTCCCGCGTGTGCCAAATTCCTCTTGTTTTCTGCCGATAATTAGTTGTACCCCGTCCTGTCCCCTCCCCAAGCCAGGCCATCACCTTTGCCCCAGGCGTGCCGGTTTACTGGACCAACCGAGCTCTGTGCACTCCCGCTCTTCTCTCCATTCCCACCCAACTCCAACCTCTGCTGCTGTCTTTCCTTGTCCTCCGCCCCTTGCCACTCCCACTCATCTCCCATCCTCCTCCCACGGCAGGCCATCACCTTTGCCCCAGGCGTGCCCGTCTACTGGACCAACTGAGCTTTGCTGCTGTGTCTCCTGCCCCTTTCCATACCCTGTCTCTCCCACTCCCCAATCACCCCCCACGGCAGGCCATCACCTTTGCCCCAGGCGTGCCCGTCTACTGGACCAACTGAGCTTTGCTGCTGTGTCTCCTGCCCCTTTTCATACCCTGTCTCTCCCACTCCCCAATCCCCCCCCACGGCAGGCCATCACCTTTGCCCCAGGCGTGCCAGTCTACTGGACCAACCGAGCTCTCTGTCACAGGAGAAAATGGTGAGTGACACACGGGGCGTCTGATCATGCTGACTTGCTGCCTTATTATGTTGGCTTGTCATGGTGACATGTTGGCTTGTCATGGTGACATGTTGGCTTGTCATGGTGACATGTTGGCTTGTCATGGTGACATGTTGGCTTGTCATGGTGACATGTTGCCTTCTCATGTTGGTCAAAGGTGTTGGCTTTTTGTGTTGTCTTATTCTGCTGGTTCATGTTGTTCGCGTGTCGCTAAACCTTTATCATTGTTAATCCATTACCGTTCTTTCGCCTGTGTGCAGCGATTGGCCGAGAGTAGAGCACGACTGCACAAAGGCTTTGGAACTGGACAGAAATTCCGTCAAGGTACTTTCTCCGGGCTACAGTTGATTGCATGCATTTGAGGAGTAGAACATTGTGATGACAACGTAACAGGGCCTTTCTGATGTCTTTGATTCGACTCAACAGTCACCCTCTCTCTCTCATGTCTCCCCTCCTGTTCTGGATCTCACATGGCTTGGTTCACAAACAAACCAACAAAATGACTCGTGCGCCGTTTTCCCCTCTCTCTGCAGGCGCGCTTTCTTCTTGGCCTTGCTCTGGTGGAGCTGAGTCGATTCCCCGAGGCGATTAGAGAGCTGGAGAAGGTGCGTGGGAGGAAGGATAAAGGGGAGTGGGAGAGGGGCAGTGGGGAGAGGGAGAGTGGGTGTGCATGTGGGTGTATATGGGAAAAGGGTGTGGTTGGATGCGTCAGCCCCCCTTGCTCTGGTGGAGCTGAGTCGATTCCCCGAGGCGATTATAGAGCTGGAGAAGGTGGGTTTGGGGAGGGACAGGGGGGAGAGAGGGAGGTTGTACGTGGGGGTGTGCTTGGGAAAGGGAGAAGGTGGCTGGGTGGGGGGGGTCTGCCTCTCTTGCTCTGGTGGAGTTGAGTCGATTCCCCGAGGCGATTCGAGAGCTGGAGAACGTGGGTTGGGGGACGGGTTAGGGGGAGACGGAGAGGGAGAGGGAAAGGGTGTGCGTGGGGTTGTGAATGGGAAGGGGAGAAGGTGGGTGGGGTGCGGGTATTGGATGGATGAGCGCTTGTGTGGCTGAGAAGTGGAGGACAGATCGGTTGGAAAACCAATGCATACATGAATCCTTTGCGCTCGCTAGCATGCCCGTTTCGATCCCTTTCAACCACTCCGTTGCCAGACGCTGATTCGAGGCACGCACAAATATGGAACAGCTTTGTCCGTTTGTCCCCCATCACCCTCCCAGGCGCTGGAAGCACGGAGGAATGACACGCGGCTGGTGAGCAGTGACAACCTGGAAAACATCTGGTAGGGTGGGCGATCTTTCTCCCCCCCACTCCCCGCCCCCTGCTTATCCTTTCCTTCCCAGGCGCTGCAAGCACTGAGGAATGACAGACACCCGTTTGGTACGCAACGCAGTGACAACCTGGATGACATTTGGAGAGTGCTGCCTGCTGCTGCCTGCTGCTGCTGCCTGCTGCTGCCTGCCGCTGGCTGAGCCCTATTTTCCCTCCTCAACTCTCTTCTCCCCCTCCCCTCCCTTTCCCCTTCCCCCTCGCCCTTCCTGTATTCCACCCTGCCAGGTGCTGGTGCTGTTGCTGTTGCTGGTGCTGGTGCGGGGTGCCGCCTAGAGCCACTGTGCTTGAGTTGAGTAACTAGCTCTAGCTGCATACGAAACCCTACTTTCTCCCCTCCTCACCCGCTCCCAGGCGTGTTTTGAGTCGACTCAAAACACGCCTAGAGCCATTGTGCTTGAGTAACTAGCTGCATACGAAACTACGCAGGAGTAACTATTTCCCCCCCTCCTCACCCACTCCCAGGCACTGGAAGCACTGAGGGAAATGACACGCGGCTGGCTGGTTCGCAGTGACAACCTGGACGACACTTTGAGAGTGCTGGGTGCTTTCAAAGTACCGGCGATGTGCTGAACCCTCTCCTTCCCCTTTTCCCCCCCTGCATTCCCCTCTCAGGCACTTGAAGCTCTGAGGAACGACACCTGATTGGTACGCAGTGACAACCTGGACGACACCTGGAGAGTGCTGGCTGCTGCCAAGTACCTTGCCCATTCTCTCCCCTACTCTCTCCCCTATTCTCTCTCCTCCTCACCCGCTCCCAGGCACTGGAAGCACTGAGGAATGATACACGGCTGGTGCGCAGTGACAACCTGGACGACATCTGGAGAGTGCTGGCTGCTGCCAAGTACCGCCGGTGGGAGGAAGAGGCCAAGGCGAGGAGAGAGAAGCAACAGGCACTGGGGTGAGTTGTGAGTGACGTGTAGTGAGAGAGGTGCGTGTGAAAGCGGTTGAGTCTGCGCTTCAACGCGGCCTGGCATCTGGAGGGTGCTGGCTGCTGCCAAGTACCGGCGGTGGAAGGAAGAGGCCAAGGCGAAGAGGGAGAAGCAGCAGGCACTGGGGTGAGTTGTGAGTGATGTGTTGTGAGAGTTTGGAGTGATGTGGCTTGGCTGGAGCTTTGATAGAGATGCTTGCAGAAACTTGGTCACGTGTGTTGTTTTTAAAGGTGCAGGGTTTGCTACTTAGGGTTTGCTACTTAGGGTTTGCTACTTAGGGTTTGCTACTTAGGGTTTATTTCTGGCTTGTTTGAATCACATGGATGTTAACAGTTTGTCAGAGTTGGAAAAAGAAGCAGCAAGCGCTCGTGCATGCGTGAACCAATCCTGATTTTATCCTGGAGTTGTTGAACGGGCTTGCGCATTGGTGGTTGTTTGGTTGCCTGGTTGTGCTTTCATCTGCCATCTGTCATCTTCATTCAATTAGTTTGGCCTTTGGCGGCTAGTTGTTTTCCCCTGACAGATGATTCTCGGTATGTTCACTCTCCAGTCGCTTCGAGAGTAGATCTTGATGTGTCGGCCGTTGCTTGCGCCTTTTGCTGATACCGATAATCACTGTGGCTGTGGGTTGACATGAGTTTGGGTGCAGGGAGGAGCTGAAGCTGCTAATGAAGAATCGCCTGTGCCAACAAGTATCGCAGCTTCTTGGTAAGTGTGTTGTGTTGCCCACGCCATAGTTGTTTCTTTCACACTCCTGAATCGAGGATACTGTGAAGACACTGGATAGTACATTGCTCTTGTACAGGGAACCGCTTGTTGATTTCAATCGCTTGCTGACTCCAGCACACCTAGAAACGCCTGCTGAAGACTTTTTGAGTCGACTCAAAAGTCAACCGCTTGTTGATTTCAACCGCTTGTTGATTTCAACCGCTTGTTGATTTCAATCGCTTGTTGATTTCAACCGCTTGTTGATTTCAATCGCTTGTTGATTTCAACCGCTTGTTGATTTCAATCGCTTGTTGATTTCAACCGCTTGTTGATTTCAACCGCTTGTTGATTTCAACCGCTTGTTGATTTCAATCGCTTGTTGATTTCAACCGCTTGTTGATTTCAATCGCTTGTTGATTTCAATCGCTTGTTGACTCCAATCGCTTGTTGACTCCAATCGCTTGTTGACTCCAATCGCTTGTTGACTCCAATCGCTTGTTGACTCCAATCGCTTGTTGACTCCAATCGCTTGTTGACTCCAATCGCTTGTTGACTCCAATCGCTTGTTGACTCCAATCGCTTGTTGACTCCAATCGCTTGTTGACTCCAATCGCTTGTTGACTCCAATCGCTTGTTGACTCCAATCGCTTGTTGACTCCAATCGCTTGTTGACTCCAATCGCTTGTTGACTCCAATCGCTTGTTGACTCCAATCGCTTGTTGACTCCAATCGCTTGTTGACTCCAATCGCTTGTTGACTCCAATCGCTTGTTGACTCCAATCGCTTGTTGACTCCAATCGCTTGTTGACTCCAATCGCTTGTTGACTCCAATCGCTTGTTGACTCCAGCACACCTAGAAACGCCTGCTGAAAAGTCCCTCTAGAAGGCCGCATGACTGCTGAAATTCTCTTGTTCAGAACGCCTTTTTTTAGTCAACACAAGGGGCACTGTTGACTCGATAGCATGTAGTTGCCGTCCTGTGCCGTCCTGTGCAGGCAAAGAGGGGTCATGCTGAATGACTTTCGAGTCGACTCAAAAGTCAACACAAGGGGCAGTGTTGACCTGATAGCATGTGGTGTGCCTTCCCTGTGCCTTCCTGTGCCTTCCTGTGCCCTCCCTATGCCGTCCTGTGCCGTCCTGTGCCGTCCTGTGCCGTCCTGTGCCGTCCTGTGCCGTCCTGGGCCGTCCTGTGCCGTCCTGGGCTGTCCTGTGCCGTCCTGTGCCGTCCTGTGCCGTCCTGTGCCGTCCTGGGCCGTCCTGGGCCGTCCTGTGCAGGTAAAGAGAGGTCGCACTGAATGGATCCGCTAACGCGTTGACTTCATCATCAGCTTGGGCCATCGCGGTGTCTCTCTGAGGCTGGTTAGCCTGTGCTCTGCACCGTTAGACTTTTGAGGCGCCTCAAATGTCAGCTTGGGCCGTCGCGGTGTTCTGCTCTGCTGAGGCTGGTTAGCCTGTGCTCTGCGCCATTCAAGGCTAGCATTGTCCCCCTTTTCCCCCTCCCTTCCTCCTCCCTGTTCGCCAGGCAAAGAGGGCGCGCTGAATGGATCGTCTCATGTGGACTTCTCCAGCCTGGGAAATATAGATGGTGAGTGGAGCACGGGGAGGGAGGGGAGTAACGATGGTGACCGGCGAGGGCTAAGAGTGGATGGTGACCGGCGAGGGCTAAGAGTGAATGGTTAGAGCAAAGGGGGCTAAGAGTGGATGGTTAGAGCAAAGGGGGAGCGCTGAATGGATCGTCTCATGTGGACTTCTCCAGCCTGGGAAATATAGATGGTGAGGGGGGGATGGGGAGAGAAGGGAGTAGAGATTATGTGAGGATAATGGGGAGAAAGGGGAGCAGACAAGGGAGAGAGGGGAGTGCATATGGTTAGAGCACATCTTTGGAGGCGCCTCAAAAGGGAGTGCATATGGTTAGAGCAGAGAGGAGAGAAGATGGTTTGAGCAAAGGTGGCGTGCTGAATGGATCAGCTCGTGTTGACTTCACCAGCCTGGTTGATTCAGACGGTGAGTGGAGACGGGAGAGAGGGGAGAGGGAGAGGGGAGAGGGAGAGAGAGGGAGAGGAGAGGGGAGAGGGAGAGGGGGAGAGGGAGGGAGAGGGAGAGGGAGAGGGAAGAGGGGAGAGGGAGAGTCGGTGTGAGAGAGAGGAGAGAAGATGGTTAGAGCAAAGACTGAGTGCTTGGATCGGCTCGTGTGGACTTCACCAGTGTGGTCGATACAGACGGTGAGTGGAGAGGGAGAGAGGGGAGTAGTTTTGGTGGGAGCAGAGAGGAGAGGAGAGGAGAGGAGAGGAGAGAGACGAGACGAGACGAGAGGAGAGGAGAGGAGAGGAGAGGAAAGTTCTGAACAGCAAACCAGGAGTGACGTGGCACTCTCTTTTCCTTCCCGCTCCTACTTCCTCCTAGTGACTTTTAGGACGACTTCATACTCGTATGCCTGTTTCTCTCCTCCCCACTCTTACCTCCTCATCTCGTGCCTCCACCCCCACCCTTCACACAGGTCTGGAGCCTCACAAGTCGGAGCAAGTGGGGACGCTAGTACAGCAGTACCAGGAGCGCCTCAACACGCTGGAAAACGTGTTTGACAAGGCGGGGGCTCCTGACAGACCTACCGAGGTGAGAGGAACTCGGAAGTGGGTAGGTAGGTGTGTTGAGCTTGTGAGGCGAGGTGGCTCGAGGAATGGGGTGAGGAATGGGGTGAGGAATGGGGTGAGGAATGGGTTGAGGAATGGGGTGAGGAATGGGGTGAGGAATGGGGTGAGGAATGGGGTGAGGAATGGGTGAGGATGGGGTGAGGAATGGGGTGAGGAATGGGGTGAGGAATGGGTTGAGGAATGGGGTGAGGAATGGGGTGAGGAATGGGGTGAGGAATGGGGTGAGGAATGGGGTGAGAATGGGGTGAGGAATGGGGTGAGGAAGGGGGTGAGGAAGGGGGTGGGTGAGGAATGGGTGAGGAATGGGGTGAGGAATGGGGTGAGGAATGGGGTGAGGAATGGGGTGAGGAATGGGGGTGAGGAATGGCTTGGGGTGAGGAATGGGGTGAGGAATGGGGTGAGGAATGGGGGGTGGGGGTGGTGGAGATGGCACGCACCTGCCTGCTGTGCCAGGAGCGCCTCAGCGCGCTGGACAGCGTGTTTGTCAAGGCAGGAGCACCCGACAGACCTACCGAGGTGGGTGTTGAGTTGAGTTGGGCGGGTGCGGTGTAGTAGTTAAGGTGGCTCAGAAAGTGGGATCTTGCAAGATAGATAACCCTGGGATATTTGAGATATCTCAAAAATCACTCACTGGGATCTTGCAAGATAAGCGTGGGATATTTTCAAAAACTTGGCCATCATCACTCATTGTGTTCTCGCTCTCTCCCTCTCTCCTTTCTTCTGCGCCCCACAAGTGGCAGACTTCTTGTGCTGCAAGATCACCATGGGCATTTCAAGGACCCCGTCATCAACCCCCTTTGAATAACAGTTGGTGGTAGCCCCTGTTGTTTCGATGTGCTTGCCACTATGTACTCACTGCCGTGCTGTCTCTCTCCCTCTCCCTTCCCCTGCGCCCCACAAGTGCCTGACTTCCTGTGCTGCAAGATCACCATGGATATCTTCAAGGACCCCGCCATCACTCCCTTGGATTTCCAGCTGGTGTTAGCCTCTGTGTTGATCCAATGCCGTCCACTATGCGCTCACCATGCTGTGACTCTCCCTCTCTCGCACCCCCTTGTGTGCCCCACAGGTGCCTGACTTCCTCTGCTGCAAGATCGCGATGGATATTCAAGGACCCCGTCATCACAACTCACCACGCTCGCTCTAGTCCCATTCTCTGCCATTCGTTTGGCAGGTGCCGGACTTCCTCTGCTGCAAGATCACAATGGACATCTTCAAGGACCCGGTCATCACTCCCAGTGGCGTCACATACGAGCGAGCAGTGTTGGTCGACCATTTGAAGTCGGTAAGTGTACATGCTCCTCTTCCTCCATGCTCCTCTTCCTCCATGCTCCTCTTCCTCCATGCTCCTCTTCCTCATTGCTCCTCTTCCTCAGTTCTCCTCTTCCTCTGTTTTCCTCTTCCTCAGTTCTCCATTGTCTCGGTTCTCCTTGGTGTGTTGCACATCACTCATCGTGCTGTTGCGGTATACCTTCCTACTAACTGCCATTTTTGCTGCATCCATTCATAGCTGCGTTCGATTTTTCGTGAAAGCTTGTTTACGTGTTTTGGTTCCTGCGTGTGTGTTCCCCCATGCAGGCAAACACTTTGACCCAGTAACAAGGGCCCCGTTGACACCAGAGCAGCTGTGCCAAACCTGGCACTGAGAGAGACAGTACAACACTTTCTCAACGAGCATGGGGTGGGCGTACAACTTGCAATAATGAGGAATCCCAACCTGCTAGGCAAAGAATCAAAGTCGCAGTAATGGCAGCAGAAGGTTCGACCTGTATGAAGTTACCATGCTGTGAGCTGCCTGTGAATAAAATCTGGTTGCTAGTAACACAATTTGCTGGAATTCCAGATGTCATAGCGCCCCCCTTCACAGGGAAGTCGCTGAAACATGTCAGCCTGATGAGAGGATCATTTGAGGAGAATGGGTCGGGTGAATCCCAGATAATATGGGTATGAACTAAGATATGCAGCATGAACTTGGATGATCTGTAAATGGTGGTTTCTACTAAATGAGTAATTGTGGTGCTATCCCGTTACTGAAGATCTCATCGGACGGAATGGTGACAGTCCCGCTTCTTGTTGTGAGCTCCTTATACCGGTTTACCGTACACGTCAAGGTTTCCTGATGCTTGGCTTTTTGTGCCGCTCGAGGCACGAACCGAGCAGCTTTGGTCCCCTCAGTTCACTGGCTGAAGTTATTTTCCGCTGCTGCGCTTTCGTCGTGCCCCCAAGCGGTCACACCATTCATTTCCTTTCTGCTCACCAACTCTTGGAGGTGATTCGTTCCGCGCAACGAGATCCAATAGACCAATGAGAAAAGAGAAGCATGTACGTGTGACCCACGGCGCTCTGCAGGCAATTGCCTTGGGAGAGAGGTGGGAAAAGAAGGGAATCGACGATGGTTCCGAGGCAGTTTCCCTTCGATTCCCCAACCTCCCCGCTACAACGAAAGTTGGAAATTTCGGGTTTAGGGTGCGCAGCTGCTGAAGGTAATGCCGAAAAAACGGCCACAATTTCCAACGCACAGAAGTTGGGTATAGAGAACTGCGCGAAACCAGAAAAAGGGTAGAAGCTTAGCATAGGGCTACCATGCCGAAAAAAGGGCACCCAAGCACTCCCTCCAGCAATACACAAACCTCGCTCCAACCAACTCAGTTCGAGGAGGTGGGTGGCTTGTGCTTTTTTAACCTAGGTTGACGCGTCCCTGTTTGGGTTACTTAAGGGAGGGGCTGTTGCTTTCTAGGGTTCAAGTGTGGTGTTCCCTAACCCAGCGCCTCCCTCCCCCCTCCGTCTCACATCCCGGCAGGCAGGAGCAAGTTTTCGAAAGGGGGGGGGAGAAGGGACAAATTTTGCCAGAGAAGGAAGCTGGGGTGGGGAAATAGGCAGCTTCCTACGCCCTCATATCCACGAGGTAAATGGCTGTTTTGTTGCCATTTACCTTCGTTTAGGTTCGGAGGGTAAATGGGAGGCTCGGATCCATTTTCCGGGCTGACCGGGCGTTTGATCCAAAAAACGCAGTTGGGGGAAGGTTTCTACCCACCGCCCCCCCTCCTCTGTCGTGCTGCCAGAACGCAGCCTTGTTTCGTCTGAGAAGCAAATCCTTCAGTTGGTGTACTACATGGAATGTCTTGTTTCTCCTTCCGTGAAAGTTTCATTTCGGATGGAGGACAGCTTGAGGTATCTGTGCCGATTTAAGCGCGAACTGGACTTTTAGCCCCCACAGATCCGTTTCAAAAGCAAAATTGTTGTCACTTCTGGACTGCTTTTCGATCGTGTACTGGAAGACAATTGGCAAAATATAACGAAGTAAACCACCCTCTCAGTGCTGCATCTTTCCAACACCTCTCTCATCAACTGTAACCAGAACCAAACAAGCTTGCAGCTATGCCATTGCATTTGTGCTTCTTGCTCACTCAAACATACTCATTTCAGGAGCCATATGTTCTTGTTCCCCGTCCTTTCTCCTGTGGTGCTGTCGTGTCATGATAGTAGCCCACCCAATCAGGAACGGGTGCATCTAATAGCCGCACTTTCGCAAATTTGACCTGTTGACTGTAGGCCTCCTAAGTCTCTGACGCACTCGACGGTAATGACATGAGAAATATGTGTAGGGCATTCCAAGCTAACCCGGTTCTTCCTCGTCAATATTGAGGGGGAAATTATACCTCGCTGACTACTTTCTCACGAATGACTGGCTTTCTGTACTCAATGCTATTCACACGTTCAGACCAGCCGTAGAGTCTAGCGTAACAATTTGTCACCGCGGGACACCCTACAGGGCACGGTGATACTGTAACAGTGCCGTCAAAGAATGGTCGAATCCGTCAATTACGTCATTCACAACGATCCATAGTTCAGCGTATAGACCTGCTGCTTCTCTGCGTCGAAATATGGTGGACTTTGGCGATTTCTCCGACGGTAGCGACGACGACATCGAACCCACATGGCTGCCCGACCAACGAAACGTTTCCGAGAACCTGCCCGAACCAATCGGAACCGTCGCGCGATCCGGTCAGCTCGGCGCGCCTCTAGGAATCGCGCACCTGGCACTCGGTGCGGTTACAGCTGCCATGTCAGCATATAATCGCGGAAATGCGAAGGCGGACGGAGATGGCTTGCCACGTGTACGCATGCTGAGCTGTCTGCACGCGCTTTTCACGCAGCTGCACGATTCGGGAAGCGAGGAGGCAGCAGGGGACGGAGGTAGGTAGGTTCTGGCGAGGAGACATCAAAGAGAGGTAGGTTTAGAAGGTTTACAGCGTGACACCCTGGCAGGACGCACACTTTTCAAGTCGCACACTATTCACCACGTCACCTCCCACTCCCACTATCATTTGCATTCGCATCCCCATTCCCAATCCCAATCCCAATCCCAATCCCATTCTCACTCCCACGCACAACCCATTCCCACTCACACGCACACTCCACTCTCAAACTAACCTGTCAGCCTCCCCACCCCTAGAATCTAGACCTGTGCTTCCCTTTCCCCCTCCTCCCCCCACCGCTTGCCCCCCAATCTGCACCTGCACCTGCGTTACCGAGTGATACCCTTCATTGTCCTCCCCTGCTCCCTTCGCCTCTCTCCATCTTCACCCTCCCTCTCCCCTCTCCCCTTCCCTCTCCCCTTTTCCCTCCCCACCCCCTCCCCCCCTCCCCCCCCCGCTGCTTGCCTCCCTTCCGCACGTTACCGAGTGATACCCTTCCGTTTTCCCTCCTCCTCCCTTCTCCCCTCCCCCATCCATATCCTCCTCCGCAGCCTTCTCTCCCACGCCCTGTCAGGCGCTCAGCTTTGGATGCTGTTCAGCTGTTGAGGCGCCTTAAAAGGAACTACAGAAGGCCGCCGCGCATCCTGCACCTGCCGTACTTTGCTTTGCACCTTTCCACTCCTCGCCCACCCCTCCCCTCTCCCCTTCCCCCTCTCCCTCTCCCTCCCCTCTCCCCTCTCCCCTCTCCCTGTCCCTTTCCCCAACCGTCCCTTTCCCCAACCATCCCTTTCCCCAACCATCCCTTTCCCCAACCATCCCTTTCCCCAACCACCCCTTTCCCCAACCATCCCTTTCCCCAACCATCCCTTTCCCCAACCGTCCCTTCCCACACCCCGCTCTCCTCCCTTCCCTCCCGCACTCCTCTCTGAACCCCTAACACTCCTCAGGCGTTGTGAGCCGTCCGATCCTGGACTCGGATCTGGACGGTCTAGAGAAGGCGGAGCGCACCCCCTGCACCTGCAGTGCCTTTCGGAGCGCACCCCCTGCACCTGCAGTGCCTTTCGTGCCCGCGCCCGCTGACCCGTGGGCAAGCATCCTACCAGCCAGTGTCTTTCCTCCCCCTTTCCCTCCCCCTCCCCCTCCCCTTCCGCACGTCCACCCTTCCCTTCCCGCTCTCCCTCCCCACCCCTCCCCCTTTCCTTCCTCCCCCTCCCCCCTCCCCACCCTCGCCCTCTGCTCGACCGTCCTCCCCTCCCCTCTCATACCCATCCCTGAACCCCACCCCCAACCTCAGGCGCTGTCAGCCGTCCGATCCTGGATCCCTCCGATCTGGACGGTCTAGAAAAGGCGGTGCGCATCCTGCACCTGCGGTACCGGTCGTGCCTGCGCCCGCTCACCCGTGGAAAGCTACCGTCCCGCACTGAACTGAAGGAGATGCGGCTTAGCGCCCAGGCCATGGGGGTCAGGGCTGCCATGATGATGATTGATAAGATTCCCAAGGTGAGGAGAGGATGGGAGGGTGGGTTGGGTTGGGTTGGGAGTGGAAAGCTACCATCCCGCACTGAACTGAGGGAGATGCGTTTGAGCGCCCGGGCCATGGGGGTTAGGGCTGCCATGATGATGATTGATAAGGTTCCCAAGGTGAGAGAAGCTGGGCTTTCCAAGGTGAGAGGAATGGAGGGGGGTGAGAGAGGGAGGTTGGGTTGGTGGGGTTGGGTTGGGTGAGAGAGTGGCAAGCTTCCCTCGCGCACAGAGCTGAGGGAAATGCGGCTTAGCGCCCAGGCCATGGGGGTTAGGGCTGCCATGATGATGACTGATAAGGTTCCCAAGGTGAGAGGAAGTAGGGGCTGGGAAGAAAGTGGAGAGGGGAGAGAACGTGGGGAACTGGAAGCGGCAAGCTGCCGTCTCGCACAGAGCTGAGGGAGATGCGTTTTAGCGCCCAGGCCATGGGGGTTAGGGCTGCCATGATGATGACTGATAAGGTTCCCAAGGTGAGAGGAAGATGGGAGAGGGGGGGACGGGTGGGTTGAGAGCGGCGAGGTTGGGTTGGGTTTGGTGGGGTGCGAGAGGTAAGGTGGTATGGTGCATGGAGGGGAAGGAGATGCAGCTCCGGGCCCCTTGAGGCGCCTCAAACGCGCCCTCGCCATGGGGGGATGGAGTTCAAAGTTGCGAGGAGCGGGGAGGGGAGAGGGGAGAGGGGGAGAGGGGAGAGGGAGAGGGGAGAGGGGAGAGGGAGGGGGGGAGAGGGGAGAGGGAAGAGGGGAGAGGGGTAGAGAATACAAGACCCTCAGACGTTCCCCCTTTACCTTCT